TCAGATATATAATACATATAATAAAATATTTTGAGAATTTATATTTTAGGTATGCATAATTATTTCTATTCAAATTGTGGAAAATGACTTTTTCACAATCCGGCCGGATGATCGAATTATAAAAAATCAGCCAAGTTGATAATTGTCGAATATTTATTGTATTCCTAGTATATATATATATTATACTATGTAATAAAAAATAATTAATTGTTACACGCGAGTTATCCAATTTTTATTTTTAACGATAATTTGATTAAATATTTTATTTCAAAAAATTATTAAATCTGCAATTATTTACAGATTAAAATTCATTTTCGTCTTGCTCGGTAAACAATTAGAATGTTTTACAAATTTTGTAGATGTATCACAGACTTTTCATGAAAATATATTATTTAGTGGGCCCGTACGTACACAGGTCCACAAAAAAAAAGTATCCTGTGCTGGGGTGGAGACCCAGCTATTTTTATGTATTTTGAGTCGCTAAGTACGAATTTGACATAAAAATAGGACCATCCAGGGCAAATTTTCAATCTAGAACAAAAAAATGACTCATTTTTTCCCATTTTTGACCCATTTTTTTGCCTCACCTTTTGTCTTCACCCCAGCACAGGATACTTTTTTTGTGGGCCTGTATTATTGAAGTTGTAAAATAAAACTCAGATTATCTTTTCGGACAATCTTCATGTCATGTGATTTCCATTAAATCGCAGTTACAAGTACGATATTAAATTGACTCACAAGATCTATTTAATAAATCGTATCTCAAGATTCTTTAACGGAAACGCGATTATAAATACAAATATAAATCTTGCTAAACATTGAACATCTTCGTAATTATTTACAAGCTCGTTGATCAATTCGACGACGGAAGTTCCTCGCTACATGCGAGGAGGACACGAATGGAAAGCTGCGCCATACACGGCGCAGAATCAATTTGGCATGTACCTCAACGTCAAAATTGCATTATGGTCGATCGTAATTTCGCAAGCAGGACACAGGTGTGTGCTCTGCGGGAATATCGATGACGAGATAGCGAAGTAGCGGATATACAACAAAGGGACTCGCGAAAATGAAATTTGCGTTCACCGCAGTGCGACGTATGGGAGAACAATTCATCATTTGTCCGTTTCATCCCTTTTAATTATTTTTCTGGTGATACTAAATGCAAAGATACCTTCTTTAAAATTTAGCGATGTATAAAATTATTCCATTATTGAAACTCTCAAACTTCAACAGCAGTTACAGTTTTAGAGCTAATTTTTTTTTTTTTTTTTTAAAGAAATGTATAAAACATCAGATGTTGAAGTTATAATAAAAATGCATAAATAAAGCTTCTACAATTAAATAATAG